CAAAATGAATGTCTGTCGACTACAGTGTACAGCTGTCTGAAGTGCTGTCTGTTCAATAATAACACCATGGTGCATGGTACACAAGCTCGGGGCATGCAGCTGCTGTCTGAAGTGCTGTCTGTTCAATAATAACACCATGGTGCATGGTACACAAGCTCGGGGCATGCAGCTGCTGTCTGAAGTGCTGTCAGAAGGAGTCTGTGGACGTAAAAATATACAAGAACATCCAACCAAAGCCATCATCATTGCAATCGAAAACCACTCGAATCTATCTAGATCATCTGTGTTAGGCACAGCAGTGTAAACATCGACACTGACTAGGAATCGTTCCACATGGAAGGGGTCTTGCACAATGCAGGTACACAATTAAGGCACCCGGGATATCCGCCACAAAACTAGCGACGTCATCACACATCCAACACCCATGTTGTTGTTGTTGTTGTTGTCTTCACATTAAAAACCATCCCGGTCTCTCTATCCAGTACCTCCTTCTGTCTCAATCTCTCCGTACTAATCCATTACTTGACTCGGTCAATTTCCGTGGTCACAGGCTAACGTACCTAGAAAAGGTATACCAAAATAAAATGGACCCCAAGGGTCAGCAGAGCGATAAAATACAAGAAAACAAAATATAATCAGAAACAAATAAAATAAAATAAATAAATAATTGGACTAGTGGAACGGCCGCACCACCAGCCTGGGGGGGTAGCCTCCCACTACATGGAGGCAGGTCGACGGCCAAAGGAAGTAGTCTATTCAGAAAAACACGGAATAATTCAAAACACAAGAGGTGTTTGTCCGTGCGCCACGGTTCGATGCCGTCCGCATGCTCCGGTTCCGCTGCTCCGGTGCCGCTGTGGCCAGTCCTAGCACGACCAAACTCGACCCGCTTCGTACACGGTCTCGTTGCTGTCCTTCCCAGTCGGTTGCTCGCTTTCTTCCTCGTTGCACTTAGGATTCTTGGTCTGAAAATTCTCGCGTCGAAGGTTCAACCAGCCCAATCAGCTCGTCACCACCTGTCCCCGCCTCCTTTGATGGCAAAACCAGGTTACTGAGACAGTGCAGCTCCCTCTAGCAAACCCAGGGCCGTGTACATAGTGCCCGTCCACCTTTCTGATGGCGTCTGCCTCGCGCTCAAAGATGAGATGGGCATTGCTGCTTACACGGACGGCCTGAAGGCCCTCGCATCTGCACCTTGTACCTGACGCACCAGTGCAGACCACTACGCACGCCTCGCGGCGGGCGCGCCGCAGCAAGAAGGCATCGGTCCCTTGAGGGTGGGTCTAGCCCTGCTCGCTAGAAAGACCCCCCATCTCGCTATGGATCATGCCTACGCAAAACCTCGCCGAGGCAGCGAGGGGATGAAGGGGAGTTTGTTGTTGTTGTTGTTTCTCACATTAGCTCTTGAGTCCACAAAGAATGGGGAGTCCGTGGTCTCGAAACCCGGCACATTCGACGCCGCGGGGAAACAATACAAAAATAGGGTACAAACCACTCGGAACAACAAAACAAAATGATAGAAAGAAAAGAACAGGTGTCGCACCGACCGTCCAAGAAAAGAGCCCTCGGAAACCGATCTAAATAAAACAAAAAAAAATAAAGGAGGACGCTTTCCACACCCGCCCAAAGAAAAAACAAAAGGGTAACGTACCAGCACCAGGCACAACGCACCAGGGCATGGGAGTAACGGAGCAAACAGGACAAAGAGGCGACAGATGGGCAGACAGCCAGACGTGCAAAAACAAAGGAGTGGTGGCATCAGATTGATGTATTTTGTACCTCAAAGTGATTTCACGTGCACAATATGGAAAACTTGTTGTTAACGCGTTCCTCTTTCATGGTTAACGAAAATCCGCATCCCTACTTTGCCATCGTATGTTGGACTTGTCCCGTGTCCAGGCTAGGTAGCCGTTCTATTTTTGACGGGTAATCTACATATCGTGGTATTCTATCGCACATACACGGCCCGTCCTTGGGAGAGCACAGCCGCCCCATCCTCCTCTCCTCAACCCTCCCTTTTACTCTTTAACAGTGGGGTGTGCACGTGTCCTGCTGCAGGCGGCGGACACGGTGTGAAAAAAGCTTTCTTGTCCGTCTATGTAGTCCATTGATGTTCTTCATAGGTGCCCAAGCAAGTACGTGCGGTACTACTTTCTAGTGTGTATATATTTCTCCTAATGGTGAAGAATATGCATATCTTGGTTAGTTTTGTTGTTCGTTTGGGTGACAAATCGCGTCTCGGAGGACTTTTCGAGTCCAGTTTTGTTTCAATTTTAGAATGGTGTACAGTCGACCCCGCTTTAAAGACGCTCGCGTTAAGGAAACTTGTTTTGCTCAGCACCAGGGGACCCGGTCGAATATACGATAATCGGGTACCCCCATTATTTTTGCCGCGTACCCCCATTTTTTGTGTCCTGCGGGCCTGCGGGCCGCTTTTTGCACGAACCACCCACCACAGTCAGTGAATGCAGAAGTAGCGACGCACAGACAGTAGCAGTAGCGAGCGGTCTGCTGCTGCAGCTGTAACTGGGTGTTGGTATGGATAGATTCCTCCCATCTACCGGCGGTCCATCTGATGCCAAAAAAAGAGTCGTGCGTAACCTCGTCCCTCACCGAGGGCGAGGTTATCTCTCGCTTGGAGGACATTCGATCCTGCAGATAGCGCCCGCAGTTAAGAAACGTCAAAATCGGATCGAGCCTCAATCCCTTATTTTGTGTCGAAGTACCGGCCCAAGTCGTCTATTTTCGTATGTGGTATTTCTTCTTCCTTTGGACTGTCGCAACCTCCCGATTCTCTTGTTGCTTAGACTACAACAAGTACTTGGTATGATACTTTCTTTGTATTGTTTTGTGATCTCTGAGGACAATTCACATCATCAAGCCCTCAAANGGGGGGGGGGGGGGGGGGGGGGGGGGGGGGGGGGGGGGGGGGGGGGGGCTCTGCCCCTTGCAAAAAAAAATGCACTTCAGTTCAGCTTCGGAGGGGGGTGGGAGCACCGCAGATTTCTGATGTCATGGGGGTATCGCGCCATCACGTTTCTTAATGGGGCGTTTCTTACGTTGTGGCCGAGATTGAGCTATGTTTACAGCCCTTTTTTCTTTTTTCTTTTTTTTTCGGACAAAATTGAGCCTTTTTTTTTACAGAATTTTGTCTTGACTGCGGGCGCTATCTGTATTTTTACGCGAAGGGAAGGGGTGGCGAGTACCGTGAGACACAGTACCTTCTTTCGAAGACCGTTCATGCGTTTTCTCATGAAACTCATTAGAGCCGTAGAGCCAAGCCGCGGGGGGAGGTTCAGGGAACTCTTCGCGATATGTGGAAGGAAAAGCCGTCAGGGTAGCTTTTGGTCTCCGCCGGGACAGTGATATGTACTGGTGTTCCTCGTCGCGACGCTGAAATACGCTCGTTTTTTTTTTGTTTCACAAGAATGAGATAATTATGTCTACATGGACTTTCCTCCTTCCGCTGCCGGCTCTGCAGTACATTAGGTGGCCAAGTACAAACTGGTGTACCGTAGTTGTTTTCAACACGTCCCCAACTGCTGTACATCTCATTTCAAGTATTGTAAATACGTCAACGAACGGTTGCCAGTCGCCTCGGTGGTGCTGACTTTTCGTACCACCCCCTTCCTTAGCAAAAGGCGTGTAGTTTGAGGTATAGCATGCCTCCATTGGCCCCGGGGATGGTGAGCTATCGTCCCCTGAAGTTTATGGACGCAACCCCGCTTTAACGACGCTTTCTATCGGGAAAAACCATGTGCGTCCTTAAAGCGGGGTCGACTGTATGCACACCTCCTTTTTTGGAGTGTAGCGTGATCGTCTTGTGACCACCGAGGAAGGCAGGAAGGCATCTGCATCAGTTGGACCAGTACGTTGTACTACATAGAAGGTAACGAGCGGAGACCGGAACGGTTTGAAATGTGAAGACAACAACTACTACATACTGCTGTACATATCGATGTATGCATCTGTACTTGCTCTTTCGGTTATGTAGCATCGAGAGCTCCTGTGACGTAATCGACTCACAAATAGAGGAACAGCATATAGCGGCACAAACCGCGCACACGCTTGCTCACGGTATTCTTGTCGGACGGCTTCTCCGCCAGTAGGGCCGCATTCGTGCGTGCTGCATGTTATCGTGTCATATGGCATATTGTATTTTGACTGAATGAATGCATATGATGCACAGAACAGAAAAAGCACGCCCTCGATGGTTGAGCGACAACTACCGCCGTACTCCATGTTTTTTTCCCGTTAAGTCAACCCCTCCTCAGTTTGACCCGTAGAACGTATGAGCCCAGGTGGGTCACGACCTCGCGATCTTGCCACAAGCGTTGGGTCGGCACGGGACGGAAGCGTAGGGACGTCTCAACCAAATCACCTCCGTCGGCAAGCTGTCGATATCCTGTGGTTTTGCTCCGAGCGGAAGAAACGATGTTGGCCGCTACGTGCACATCAAGCGCTTGCTGCCGTTATGCATACAAAGCACACGGCTCTTTCAGCTCTCGGCAGGCAACTTTGGCGCCACCGGTGTTCCACGTCGTTGCAGTACAGCAGTACCCTTGTTCCCCAAGGCCGCTGCTAGCTCCTATCCCACCATGACCTACGCCCAGGACGTTGGAAGACATCCTTGGTAGAAAATTCGGAATCAACCGCAACGGCGATTGGAGCCGGCCTGCAGGCTGCCCCTGTTTAGCGAAACGTGCGGTAGCAGAACTTTGGAGGCGCCCCCTCGCGGATCAACCACGATCTAGCATACCTTTCTTTCCTGTCGTGATTCCATCGCTCACTCTGTCTGATCCGAGAGGAAAGAAATGGCGACGTGCGTTATTGCTAGTAGTCGTAGTCACTTGTGCATGAAAGACTGTAAAGTCCCAATAAAACTCCAAATTTCCCTGCGCTTCAGCAGTATACCACCATCCCGAGCAAGAAGTGGGCGGGGGGGACATCCCGCGCAGGGTACATTCACAAGTCCCGCATTCATTCGTGTTGTTGCATTCATGCACGGGGCGGGCTTCTGTAAGTGGCTGATAGTGTTGAGCAAGGGAAAATCGCGTCCCTTGTATTCGCTCTGTTTTGTGTCTGAAGGTTCGATTACCCCTCCCTCGCGCTATTCTTGTACGTTGTTGCTGGAACAGGACGCAGTGCAGGTGACACACAGCGGCCTGTCTGTGTCGACGGCAAATGCCAACGGCCACGGCAACACCAATAGGCATCCTCACTATCACCATCGAAACCGAGATGGGTTAGCTGGGACCGGCGACCCGTGTCAGGACGACCGAAGCGGGGGCGGCGGCGTACAGAGGCAAGAGCCTCCCGACACCCCGGGAAGCAACCGTAAGGGGCACGACGAGGAGGAGACCCTTCGTCGCGGGGTGGCTGACCTGCTGACGCGCGTGCGCCGCGGGGTGAACTCGTACCTCTCCGCCCTCGCGAGGAAGCAGAGGAACGTGGCGAGGCAACGGAGGGAGCGCGCCCGTAGGAAGTCTTCGTCGTCCAACAACCGCGACTTCCTCGTAGACGCCGAGGAGGCGGTGGGGCTTCTCTCCATCGCCGTAGGCGGGACCGAGAGCGCCGACGCGACTAGGGCAACGGTGGCGGCGGCCGCGGCGGCGAATGGGGGTCCCCTCCACCGGTCCCAGAGCGCGGTCTTCGTGCCCTCCAGGCCGGACCAGCAGGCGCCGGACGCGTCCAGCGCGACGTCAGCGGTGGAGACGAGGAGTGTCGGGGTGGTGACGGATGTGGGGGAGCTGCGGGACGTTAGCGAGATGGAGGCTTTCCTGCGGGAAGAAGTGCCGGGCCTCGATGCCGGGTGCGGTGTGGAGGCCTCGGCTGGGGGGCTGTCTGCCCGCGGCGTCCGCGGCGGCCGCGGCGGCGGCGGTTCGATGAACAGGGCCGGGCGGGCCGGGCTGACCACCGGTGATCTGGCTCGCCTGCATCGCGAGGAGGAGCAAGGGGCCGGGGAAGGCTCGGCGCAGGACGAGGATCGGGAGCGGTTGAGGTCTTCCCAGGTTAGTCGCAGAGTAGATACAAAAAGTGATGTTTATCATGCGAAGATAGATGATGTGGTGTTTTGATTCGCGCGAGAATACGCGGAAGACTTGGGGCGCGTTGGATTGTCAATTTCCCCTTGAGACAAAGGTAGGCGTGACGCTTGTCCGGGAATGAAGGATCTCATGCTTCCTTCCGCTGTGAAGCTTTTCTTCTGTTCTCAGGTTTGGAAATGACACATTCTTCTTGACCATCTTGGAGGTTCCGCACTGCTGTGTGTACTATCCCACGCGGCCAGCACCACGCGATATCAGTGCTTGCGGTGTACCATGAGTTGTTCAGGCCCCTCCTTGCGGCCTAATATGAATGAACCGGGGCACTTGGTCATGTTGGGCATTCCGTCGGTACTGGTTTCCTTGATTGCCTTGCACTGCCGCGAAGCCGCATCGCTGTTAACACACCGCCCTCTTGGCTTGCGCACTCCGCACTGACTGAATGAGAACCTGAGGCAACCGCCCGCAAAAGGGAGGCGTAGTTTGATATAATAGCAAGCACCGCACATGGTTATTTTGGACGACGAGGAGTGCTGATTGGCCACTTCCGCCGCCGACTCTTTGCACGACAGGGGAAGAGCCTGGGGGGCAGGCACTTCCCGTGGCGCTTTCGCCGCTTTCGCCGGAAGGCTGCGGCGAAAGCGACTCATGTGCCGCAGCTAGAGGACCGCAAGAGCGACATTGAGCAGCTCAAGAGGGACAGGGAGCAGTGGGAAGACCACGGGTTCAAGGTGCTCGGGATGGAGATAGGACACCTGCCTAAGGCCCAGCAGGTTGCGCTGCTCGCCGGCGGCGTATTCTTCTTCCTGCTAATCTACGGGTACATGCAGGTGATGGAGGGGGTCTTGGTTGTTTCGCAGGCGAGAGGTTGGGCTCGGTCCAGGGCTTGTAGTGTTGTCGGGCGGGTGTATGGGTGATACGCACGTGAGTCTTGTGCGAAGGGAGTGTGCTGTCGAGAGCGGAACTGTAGATCCTATGCATATGGAAGGTTGTTTGATAATATTTTCAGTTGATCATGTTTCTTGGGTGGATGGGTTTTGGTCCGAAACTTAATCTTCTGGTTCGCGCTTTTTCTTACATGCAACCGCTGTTGTGTTTCTAAGGCGAAAATTGGCCGATTGTATGAATACAGTGCTTGCCTCAACATCAAACCTCTTATCATGGCCCGTCGAATGCCGAAGGATAGTCGTTGCCACAACCGGTTGTAAGCGATCCAAAAAGGTCACCGACACCATGTTTGACAAGCGCGTCCCGCGTCGCCTCTCTCTCCCGTTGTGGCAGGAGTACCTCGTCGTGAAAATCTTCGAACGCAAGTTCGGGCTGTTCATGACCTTCCTCCAGTTCTTCGGTTACGCCGCCTGCGCGGCTTTGCGGAGAAGAGTCCACCGCGAGACGGTCCGGAAGGTCCCGCTGAGGCTATACTTCGGCCTGGGTTTCTTGCAGGTGGGTGCGTTTGCAAGTAGAGGTAGAGCATGAAGGGGCCGGCTGGGTCACGGCAAGGTATAACGCGTGCCTCATCGCGGCACCAGAACGTCTCGTGTCCATCTGCAGCAACGATCTCATCGGCCGAGAGCATTGGCCCAATGCCAACACGACTTTCATCTGTCGCTTGTTCCCGATTGGCCTGGATAGGCGGCGATGAGGCGCAGAAGGAGGCCGTCATGCCCCTGCATAGACAAAAGCCCGTTTACATCGACGAGGGGGTTAACTTTGTTTCAGGTCTTGTGGTGTGCTGTCGGAGCATTATGTAGCCCCTGCTGCGGTGGTGCTTGCTCGCAGTTGAACGCCCCCTGTCGGCTGGCCGTTCGTGTATGCCACGCTTCGTCTCGGCTGTCCTCTGCTTTCTCAGGCGGTGATGCAGGGGCTGACGAACGTGTCGATGATGTACCTCAACTTCCCGGCGAAGGTCCTCTTCAAGTCGTCCAGAATTGTGCCCATCATGTGCTTCGGAGTGGTGTGGCAGGTACGACAAGTGACCCCCTCCCCCTGGCGCTTGTTGAACTAGCCCTGGCTGGTCGGGCTTGCGATACGGACAACGACACGAAAACGTGTCGAAATAGCTATTGCTCAAGAGAGTGTTGGCAGTCTTGACGAGATGGTCGACTCGTTTGTATTAGGAAATGACACGATGACACGATACACATGCACGAAAGAATGATGCGTGGACGTGCGTGGGCCGCCACGCCAAGGCGACTGTTGCCGCCCTTCACGTGAACGCAAATGGAAGTATCTATCAGGGTTGTCTCTTTGTCCTGATTTGCGGCGCGCCAGCAAAGCGTGTCACGACAAAGGTATCTAACCTCGTTCTCAATCGCTTTCTCTGTGCCCCCTTTCCCTCTCCTCTGTCCCCCCCCGCCCTGTCTTCTGCGCATGATTGTACAACCCAACCGCTGGTTTAGCGCAAGAGGTACTCGATGAGAGACTGCCTCGTGGTTTGTTTCATAGTCACAGGTTTGGCGACGTTCATGAACGCGGAGACTCGGTCCTCGGCGGAATCGGACACACCGTGCAGCTTGCTAGGGATCCTGTATATTTCGCTGGCGCTGGTCATCGACGCAGCCAACATCAACATGCAGGTGCGCAGACGTGCTTTGGCTCGCGTTTGGGACGGGGAAAGCGCGCGTGCAGAGAGTGGTCCTGGTTCGGGTCGACCATGGTAGGATGATGTTTACCACATGACATCCCTTTGCTTCAGTCGATAGAAGTCTTCTGGCATGCAATCGTAGGAGACGGCGAGTTATCGGGGAGAGCAGCGACAGGCAGGTCACTTCCATAAGAAAGACCACCTCTTGTCTGCGTATGCTTCACGTGCGTTCTTTAACATTGGAACAGCCTGACGTGCACGGGTGTGTTCTGTAGGGTGCGGGTACTCCTTGTAGGGTATCAGGGGTGTCACGGAAACCACAGAACTGTTCTGTAGGGTACGGGAGGTGTCACAGAATCCACAGAACTATTCTGTATTGTACGAGGACGTTACAGAACATACAAAGTTTGTCTGTAGGGTACGGGAGGTGTCACAGAACCCACAAACCATTCTGTATTGTACGAGGGTTCTACAGAACCTCACAGGACTATTCTGTATTGTACGAGGGTTCTACAGAACCTCACAGAATTATTCTGTAGGGTACAGGGGGTGTTACAGAACTCTGTGTCTACACAAGAGCCCCCGGTACTTACCCGGTACCCCTGAATTACCGTACGGCACATGACGAGTTTGACGACGTGCGTGTTTACGACGAAGGTACAGGAAGAGGCAAGGGCGCCATAGCCCCCAACAATATAGAAATCATACTTCTAGCACTGAAATTAGCCTATCGTTCAAATCAACTGCCGTAGCCGCGCAGCACTTAGTGCACGACCGCGAAAGTGAAGTTCGGTAACACAACACCCGCAGCAGAAGCCTTAGCCTTCCCATGCGACTCCGACTCACATTAGCTCTATAGTCCACAAAAAATGGGGAGCCCGTGGTCTCAAAACCCGGCACATACGACACCGTGGGGAAACAATACAAAAATAAAAATAGGGTACAAACCACTCGGAACAAGAAAGCAAAATGATAGAAAGAAAAGAGCAGGTATCGCAACGGCCGTTCGAGAAAAGAGCCCTCGGAAACCGATCCAAATAAAACAAAAATAACAGAAAAATAAAGGAGGACGCTTCCCACACCCGCCTAAAGGAAAAATCAAAGGGTAACGTACCAGCACCAGGCACTACGCACCAGGGCATGGGAGTAACGGAGCAAACAGGACAAAGAGGCGGCAGATGGGCAGACAGCCAGACGTACAAAAACAAAGTCAACAGCAAAGCGAGATCACGGTACCCAACACAGCAGAGTAGGCAGCGAGGTCATGAAAAAAAGAAACACAGAAACACAGAAACACAGCACAGAGGCCGAAGGCAATATGTGTAAAACTTGCCGGTTTTGCGCGGACCTGACGTCACACGGGGCATCTGCAGAATCTCACAGAACTATTCTGTGTGGTGACAGACCGTCACAGAACTATGCTGTATTGTACGAGATTGCTACAGAATTTTTATTGCACGTGCCCCGCAGTGGGTGCGATATATATTCGCACCGTCGATTCTGTTGATGTCGTGACAAGGCAACGTTGCCGCGGTCGATAGCATTTCCTTTTTATTTTTTGTCCTACCACCACGGTAACGCGTGAAATAACAAGAGTACCTGCCATGCCTATGGCGCTTCTTTGCACAAACTCGACGTTGCTTGGTCGGCCCTGACCGGTATTTGACCCACGCCACCATTGGTTATGCCGCCGCAGGAGGAGGTGATGAACGTGTACGCGAGCTGCCAGGACGAGCTGATCATGTTCTCCTACCTGTGCGGCACCGTGTACGTGGGGTCGTACTGCATGTTCTCTGGAGAGCTGGTCTCTGGTTTCATGTTTTTGCACGAAAAGGTGGGAGCGGAAGGAGGAGGATACTCATGGCATCGCAGCAGTAGAGTCGCAGATGTGGGCGGCGCTTGTTGGCAAGTTTCGGTACTTATCCCTGCCAAAGTGGCAGGGGTGAAAGAGTCAGGAGATTACACGCTGATTTTTCCCACTGATTGTGTTCTTCTCCGTGAGACTGATCTAGACATGAATAGAACTGCTCCCTGACGCTACTTCATTTATTGTTCCAGACTACCTCCACCATACAGCAGTAGGGCGGCGCCTTGTTTCTCTGACGACCGTCACCATCATCCTCGTTCCACCATGCATGTGTAATCATCTCGGCTTCTTCATGCCGTCACTCTTTCGTTCGCGAAAGGGCCCGCGCGCGTTAGTGGCGGTGATGCTGTACTGCGGGGCCGGGTTCTTGGGAGGCAGCTGCGCGGTGGCGTTGACCAAGAAGTTCGGCGCGCTCCACTCGGCCATCACGACCACGGCCCGAAAGGCGGTGACCTTGATGCTCAGCTTCGTGTTCTTCCAGAAGGCCTTCACTCCGCAGCACCTCGTAGGGGCCACCGTGTTCATGATCGGCCTTCTGGTGAGTAGCACCAACCTTTGCCCTCCTTACCATGTCATGCCGGTCGGGCATGGGACGGTCTGTGAGTTGCTGTCGAAAGCGTTTTTGGCTGGGCCGGTTTAGTGGTTTTTGTGATGTGCTCGCTTCTTGCACCGCCGTGTGCGTTGAGCGTTGGAGGGTTGGATTAAGCGTGGATTATCATCCCGTGATATAGTATGCTGCAACGCACCACCTTCCGTACCGTATTCCGTACATGTTTCCTTGGGACACTTGCTATCGTGCACCCGGCGCTCGCTTGCTCGCCAGCCCCCACTTGTATGCTGTGCTTTGCACGCTAAATAAACTTTGACCAGTCTTGCCTCGATTGCACGGCCCTCTGCTTGTCCCACCTGTTTTTTGCGTTTGCATCATGAACACACAAGACCAAGATATTTGGGAAAGACCGCAAGTCTAGCGCACAGGCGGCGGAGTCGGTCGACAACTCTCCGGCCGCGACGCCGTTTATTCAGCCGACCCAGCGAAAACACCTGAGCGACGCAGAGGCCGGCCAGTTGAGGTGAGTGTGACCAGTTCGTCAGCCGCACTGGCATCTTGTTTCTGACTCTGAAGTCAAACCTAAAATCATTAGCTTTCGGTTCTCGATTTCCAGGGAGGGAATCCGACAAAGGAGCTCTGGATGTGGGTGGATCCATAAAGATGTGCTGTCTCGTGGGAGTATCCAAAAGCATCTTCTCGGCCATTTCGATTGGTGTTGCTTGCCTAGCCAGCTCTTACACCTGCTATCCACCCCCCCCGTCCCTGATTGTTTTCCACCACAGCCCGGCCGCGCTCTCCTCGGGCGGTAGCGGCGGCGATCCCTGCAGCGGCGACGGCTATGGCGGCGTGCGCGGCAGCCACGCCGATACGGCCTGCACGCAATCCCCTTCCCCGGTCCGGCAAAAGGGCCCCGCGTCTCTCGCGGGAGCCTCTGGGGGCAACCCGGTTAGGCACAGGGGCAACCCAAAGCTCTGCGGCGGCCCCGCCGCCAGCGGGGGGGGCGGGGTCGGAAGTGAGAGGGGCAGGGAAGGCGCGGGCGGAGGCGGCCAGGGGGGGCACTGGGTAAGGCAGAAGCAGTTCTCCCCGCCACGGTCGCCGTTCCGCGCCAGGATTGCTTCGCCCCCTGTGACGGGATTGGGCATGGTGGTTTGACAGATGACGGTCCGAGCCCACGCGCGACGTCTTCCTTGGCTTGTAGGAAGCGGATCACCACCGCCTCCACCGCCGCTGCTGTGTTGACAAGCTTGTGTGTGGCTTTTGGTCCTTGCTTGGGTGAGGAGGCGAAGAGCTGGTGCAAGTTAGTGACCCCAGTCTCTCTGTTGTCGGCAGCGCTTGTTGGCGGAAGGATTGTCGCGTGGAGCCGCTGAAGCTCTACTAAAAAAGCTATTTAGCTTACCAGCCATGACAGCTGGGCCTGGACTCTGCTACTGTGAGATGCTTGTCCTTGGCGCGGTTGTATACATTTGCACAGAATGGCCTTTGTCGAAGCGGGGTCAACGATGAGTGCGTGTTTCATGTTTTTGACGACCGGTAGTTCTCGATAATACCCCGAAGGTTTACCTATAAGCAGGAGCGGTTAACTTTTTTGTTATCTAAGCAGAAAGAACACAATATTTCGGTACAGTTTCTCGGAAATTTTCATGTACGACTAAGTGCAGTGTTAGAATGCTACACATACATGAGACAACCCAACAGAGGATTTTTTTTCGTTCTTGAAGCCGTTCCTCGAAAGTAGTGCCGAAGGTTTGTTGCGTTTGTACGTGTATGCAAAGCCTTCGGGCCTGTCAAATCAATGTTGAGGGTGAAGTCCCTGAGCGGAAATTACGACGGCCTTTGTAAGGTGTATTCTGAGCTACTTACCTGTTACGTTGGCGAAGGAGGTGGGTAAGGTCAAGTGTGGGGGTTGGACTGGATTTGCTGGCGTGGCGGGGGGAAGAGTGGAGAGTGTTGGAAAGAAGGCGGGGGCGAAAGCCGTCGCGCGTCCAGGGGCCCCGCAAGATGTCTTCCGATCCGATATGTAGAGTCAACGTGAGGTATCCTCCAACGCGCGTCCCTCCTTCGCATAGTCACGCTTTTTTTGCGCGCATGAACTCGCGGGTTGCTGCGTTTCGGTAAGGGGGCTGGCCGTGTGTTGTGTCGTGCGTTTGTTCCCCGCGTGGTGGGCTGCATGTACCAGCAGTGCAGTGCCACGGCGTTCGTTTGGGGAAAGGGGTGGTTAGAGTGGCTTGTCGGTGTAATTGCGTATCTGTTCTGTGTGTCCTGTGGGATCTTCTGTGGGAGAAGAACCGTTTTCGACATTTTTGCTTGGGTGGACGGGTCGAGAGCGCCAAACCCCACCAAACCGCAAAGCAGCCTCTGCTGCGTTTGTGGGCCGGACTTATTTTGCCGTCCACTTCATTTTCCAAGATCGGTCGATACCTCGAGTACAACTGAACCTCATTCCTTCTCGCTGTTCCTTAAATTGAGCTGAAGTTGCGACGCTGTTCGTGATGCTGCAACAAATTATGTGCGGGACGATGACCGCACGCAGCGAAATTGAATTTGACTCTGGTGCACAAGAGCTACGGGACAGAAGCAGCAGTAGACCAACGTGATTCGATTCAGGAGGAGCCACACCCTTCATGTATGTGGACAGAATCTCTCCGATGTGAATGAGGTGTGTCCGAAAGGGTTGTTGTGGGGTTGACTGTCTCACACTGCTCGATGGAGAAAGCTACAAAGCGGACCAATCATGGCCCAAGCACCACATGTTTGGCACTTGGGACGTGACGTCGTTCGAGCTATTTACGCTGCTGACAGCCCATGCCCATGCTCCTCCACCTCAAGAAAAAACGTCCCGAGTGTCGCAGCATCAAAATAGTCGAAACTGTGCCCTGCGCAGTAGGCCACACGCACACGCACTTCAAGTGTCGAGGGGCACGCACTGCTGTTGCTAAGCATCAACACAGGGCTCAAGGGCGTTTAATTAAGCGGGGGCTGGATTTTCCGGCCGGCTACGGGCGTGTCTCTCCTTGCCCCCCTATCCCTCTTTCGTCCACGGTCGTCTCTATCGCCACAAACCGCATTGGTGCGTCGCTTTCAAGTCCACCACTACTGATACTGCTGTCGTCTGCCGTTTGTCTCGGTAGCACCGCGGACGCCCCTTCCGGCACACGCCGTGCCACGCGTCCGATTTCAGGCGGGGGCCATGCCTGCGTTGCGCATCAGACCACGCGCGGAACGGTGAGGAAGGGGTGAGGGGTGGGACGTGTGACAACTTATCGTGTCGACTTCGCGAGGCTTGCTCGCCTGCTCATAAGCGCCTCTTGCTTGAGTGTTATCTGTGGTCCCAAGGGATAAGGAAGAGTTGCACGGTTTCAACGCCGATGTCAACAGGAAAAAACACGAAGCCTCACACACGTGCCACGAGAGCGGTGCTTGCATTAGGGCTCTTCAACCATACAAACTACTCGGGTCAGCAATGCGGCAGCGATTGGGCCAGAAATGACACGATCATCAATCAACACCACCATCGCAACCGCCGGTCATCGGGCGCATCCGCCTCTGGCTCCCTCTCGCACCTTAAAAAACACCCTGCCTCGAACCATCGCCAGGGGTATCGGGCCGTAGGTCCGGGAGTCGGAGGAGTTGGAGGGGTTGTCTCCTTCTAGCCACACGTGACCCTCGGGCACAAACTCTGGCCGATCGTTGAACCACGACCTCGACCGAACTATCACCGTCTCTCCAGGCTGGGAGAAGATAACGACGGACGGGAGGGTGGTCGGTTCGCTGCGTACTTACTTATCGGTAGGCCGAACGCGCCAAAGGAAAGTAGATTTTGACGGTGATGAAACAGACCGCCGTTGTGGCGGGGACTCGTCTGGGTACTTCGTGTACGTGCGACACATGCATGGATGGTGATGTAATACTTGAATCTGTGAACAAAGGACATAATAGGAGCCGGCAAATCGGTACAAACATGTGTCCAGGTTCAAGTGCTGATTCGTGCAGCGAAAGGAGGAAGACGAAGCAAAACTCGAAATGTCGAACATCGAGCAACTGTACGGGTCTGTGAAACAAATGTACACGTAACACAGCAAAGCAGTCCCACAGAGTTGCCGGCAGTGGCGGTGGGGAAATCGTTCTCGAAATAGTTTGGCCGGGCATGAGAGGACCCTTTCGTTAACAGAACATGGCTCGGAGAAGATCAGACCTCTGATGCTATTTACTGCTAAGGTTAGTTGCCTCGTCCAGCAGTCGGTAAAGAGCACATGACTCACCAAGCCAATGATGCGCTTGCAGACTCTGAGCTTGGGGTTTTGAGGGGGTATGGCGATGACGACGTCCCCCCTGTCCAAGCGGCCAGTCTTGGCGGAGAACATCTCCGCGAAAATGACGTCGCCGGACTGATTGAACGTCGGTATCATCGACGGCCCGGCGCACTGCAAGAGAAAACGCGCAGGCGAGGAAACACGGTGCAGCGTATATACATGCGCGAGTCGTCGGCCAGGGCAGTTCGAACAGAGAAAAAGGAGAGAGAGCGTGTGTAACGAGATTCGCTAATCGCTTCTTTACTGTTTTCTTTCCGGGGCTGTGTGGAACTACAACGCAGCTCGATCACGGATAGATGCAGGTTGCTGCTGCTTTTCCTGTGCTTCGGCTCTTGGCTTGCCGCCTTGCAACACACGATGCAGCCCAGAGTCAACCTGCACCAAACCAGCTGAATCACACACTGAATCAGATGGACAGACATAATATGCCGTACAACTTCTGCACCCCATCACGACGTCACAAAAGACCGCCTGATATTCCCAAACCACCCTGATGGCAACGCACCATCACCCCTGGATACCTCCAAATACCACAACAGGGAGAGCGCATGTACGGAAAGCCGCGCGTCAATGTGGCAAAAGAGCCAACAATGCAGCGTGGCCGATGGGGGGTCAGCAAGATGTGCGGAAAGGAGCCAAACACGGGCTACGTGGCATGCTTGTTGACACACGTACAGCATTATGTATTCCAGTAGACAGCAACAATAGCGGTACACGCGAGAATGCCCCCATCCCCCACCCCCGTTATTCAAATAAACCTTGCACGCACAATACCACCCCCCCACACACACAAACAGGCCACAGGGAATGTTAGTTGTCCAGACAGCACACCGAAAGAACTGCTATTTAGTCAGGCGTAGACAGGCGGCCACGTGATCACCTACAAGGCACATGGCGTGAACACCCACGTTGCATTTGTGACGATGGTGATGGCTTGCGGTCGTCGCGACGAGCGAACCCATGTGACTCGGTTTGATTGAGATGGTCAAGACCAAACAGAACAAACAAAAGGACAGCGACAGCAACAACGACAACGACAACAACGATGATGACCACGGCGGCGACAATAACATCAGCAGCAGCAGCAGCAGATTTCCCTAGCACCCGATACTGAAAACTCATACCATCACATTGGGGGTGGCTTCAGCTGCCGCACCTAATGTGGTGTGCGAGGTGTTTTGCTTGCTTACCGCCGTGATGCCGAAGGCATACTCGTTGATGCAATGCAAAATGGAGGTCGCTTGTACCACACGCACGACCGGGTTCTGCAGGAAAGCAATTAGCTTATGTGTCGCCGATGAGGCCATCTATGTTTCACGTAGCACGTCGTGCGTCCTGTTGCAAGAGCTGTCAGAGCACCAGCTGCAACGCCAGCACTGGCACTGGCATAGCGTTGCGACACAAGCACAATGGCGCTGGGTGTGGGGGCTCTCGGAGCACCAGCTGTGTGTGCCCCTGTTCAGAAATGTACAGAGGCGTTTCGATAACAAGGAGCGTTCGGTGTGAAACACAACCAGCCGGAGCACCGAGGGTTCCTTTTTCCTAGCGAGAGCATCCTCGTCAGCGTTGATTGTTTGTCCAAAGTGCCCGCCGGTGTGTGTCGTGAGTCCAAACAAAAACGGAATAGCACACGATTCACTCGGTACAACAGCAACGCAAAAAAACGGTGACCGTGAACTCCTACGTAAAAAGTCCCACATACTTTTAGTCCCGGACCGAAACAAACGCATGAATCGGAACCATCAGCCAACGGAGACTCAGTTACACTTGGACCATCCGAACAATCTTGCTTGGGGCTCCGCTCTTCCGTCTCTCCGTTGAACGCAGGAAAAAAAGTAATAAAGCCAAGAACAACTGCTGCTTGCACAAGCACATTGCCCCGAGAGAAACGGTATCAATTCATCGCGTCTGCAGCACAACGCCTGCCGACTTGACACAGCAGCAACGTATGTCTCCGCAGAGCAGATGACCACAAGGGTAGAGAAGACACTGCTCTCGCCCACGCGTGCGTGCAGTGAGTCAAGATACAGACGAAACAATACACGGCCTTTATTCCTTTTGGCAAACACAAAATGAGTCAATTCGAAAAGTCTTCCACACACATGCAGGACCTATCATAGGACCTCGTGAAAGCAATGACATGGCGCAAGGCGTTCCGCGCACGACGCATAAACGCTGACGAAAAGGACGAAATTGCCTGAAAGACTTCGAACAAACCACCAGAGATATCATGGCGGGGTCTGGACGCTACTTTGATAGAACGAGATACGCTGCAGGCGGGAGGAATGTGAGCTTACCGCCACGCGCAGTCGTCTCCCTAAATCTAATTCAACATCTCTCAACACATCGTCCACGACTGCTACAGCAGTTCGGGTACGACAAACACGACTCCCCCTACGAAACAGTGCCGCACATCAGCACGTGTCCCGCAACCGCTGTTACCATTCACACAAGGATCGGCAACACGACAAGAAAAAAAAATAAAAACGGATAGGAGAAAGGAGTGGCTGGAAATCTACAATGGTTGAAGATCTGCCAGTCGAGAACGTTCACAGAGCACCACGACGGGGTCGCCAACTACCCCATCTGCTTCTGGCGCGCCGGGTGTCGTGTCATATCACCCATCACGTGTATACGCCCTTTTACCCCCAAAGACCTACAACACGAAACCCTAAGTAGCCCCGTACAATAACGCCTCATCCTTGCGAGGATTCTTCACAGACTTGTAACCAATAGCACCATGCAAATGTTCGACGCCCGTTCGCCCACTCGCTCCAGCCGGATGTGTCTGCAGCCTACCAACGATGTTGGCTGGCGCAGGGTGAATTAATTTTACTGCCCGATGCCGCCCATCCCTATCTCCTCTAGCCGAAGGTCAACCTCGGCGGCGTCAGCTGTTTTCCTGTCCAGTTCTCGGGGCACCGCCCTCCCGTCCCCCCTGGAATCATCGGGCGGAAGTGTACAGGTGTTAAGGGCGATGAACACGTAGCAGCAGGGTGGGTTGATTTGACATGCATGTGTCATGCACGACAGGATGAGAGGAACACATTGCTGCAGGTGCGTGTCTTAGCCAATACGCAGGAGTACGAGGTCTATCTACGGCCTGGTAGTAACTCTTTGGGACTAAACGGATGTTGAACCGTAGCTCCGTACACAGGATGTTTCACAAACCGTGGCCGACCCAACACAACCCAACCCAACACAACACAACACAACCCTAACCCATGGCCAACGGACGGCCTGGCGGCTAAGAACTGTTCGAGAACGCAGGTGCGCCGCGTTCTCGGAATGCAGAACAGAGTGGAGGCGCTGGAGAGTAATCGATCACTCTATAATACCAGCGCTTTACCAATCAGAGGGCGTAAAAGCCTTGGATAGGAAGAGTCACCAACAGACCGCAAAGACTACTGAGGAGTACTGCTGAAGGCAACTTGCAGCACGGCATTGAAAGAAAATCACGTGTGTGACGTCGTGTGTTCGCAACTGAAGCAACAAAAAAACAGGCGGCGAGTTAGAATCACTCTGATGCAGGCAAACTCTGATGCAGCAGGGCAGGGATCGACAGGGGTCGTAGGAATGCATGCGAGCACACCGTTGCAGGGATTCTGATTTCATCAAGAACATTTGGCAACAGACAAGACCAAACACACAAGATCAACCCAGACATCCATCAGCCTTTAACACGGAATCAACGCGAACACTAAATGTGAACGGTCGGTATGTATGACCCAGAACACTGTCCCTGATTGGTACAAACGGGCTTGCGTCAGCGAACCTGAAAACAAGCGACTCGCGACCTGCTAGAGCGATCGTTCGGCGTGCACAAACGACAGCTAAAAGCACCGCCCTCAAAACACTAAGGGTGCCGCCGGCTGGCTCACCTGCAGTTCAAGCAGGTGATATACTTGTTCCCTGCACACCCAGGGCAGGGCAAAGTGGAGAAAGTGTCGGACCCCGGCAGCTTCACCGTGAACGTTCCCGCCGAGAAGCACATGGCACACACCAGCTTGCCGCTGCCGTCGCAGTATGGGCAGTTACGCCGGGTTTTGAGCTTCTCCTGCGGCGTGATTATCGTCCATTGAAATCACCGCACAGAGGGAGAGCAAGCAACGCGTGGGGCAGAGGCGTGGGATCAACGGAGGTGGGCGGGACACCGGGATTCACCAATCGTGGAACCAACAGCAGAACCATTAACACTCCATCTTAGTTGAACCCCTGATTCTCCCAAGAAAGCCTACAACGCTGACGTCCCAGCCATGGCAGACGTACACAAGATTCATTGGTAGACACAAATCATAAATCGGTACAAAGCCACACAAGAGGTTAAAAGCCACACAAGAACAATGAGGCACATGCGTGGGAATGTATTGACTGATCTTAACGGTTGGGGTTGTAACTGGTAGAGCAGAGACATGAAAAGATTTAATCACATGCTTCAGGAACTCGCTTTTGGGCAGTATGACGCCACTCAATGTTTTGGCGCGCAGAATTTGCACAAAGTACTATGATGGGCCGTGACTGTCCAGTGGTTGCGGCGCTAGGGGTATGGGGGCAATAAACAGGAATCAAAGTATCGGACACTTCCCTATTTTCCCTCTAGAGGTTTCGAGGAGGCGGCGGTTATGCCGCATCTACGAAGCAGACAACTTCAACATGTTTCTCCGTGGCACGTTTTCGCGAACGTTGCTACCCACCCGGTGTTTACTCAACACCCCCCATGTGGACGGAGGATGATAAAGCCTGTTAAAGTGCACGTTATCACCCGTTAACATGTCTTGATGACTGGTTTAAACCGTAGTCTGTGCTATGAGATGTACGTGTTCACGGTCGTCATTCGCACGAAGGTCGTCAGCAAGCTGCGACACTATTTGCTTGATACCGTACAAGGAATGGATACCATCCAGGATAGACAGCAGCGACAGGTAAGCGCAACCCCCCTACATCACACTGATTCCCAGCCCCGAGGAAACGGTCTACGCACGAACTGTACTCAGCTACGAAGGTCCACGCACATACCGTACTTAGCTACGAAGGTGAGAGATGTATGAGCGTTTTTGTATGAGCGTCTTTTTAGCTGGTTTTAACATCAACGCATTTCTAAACGATGCACGGTCCTGTGCAAGATTCACGACTACATAGTCGACACAGCGTGCTGACGACCACTACTATAAAAATTATCACTGACCTGTTTGAGCTCGAGCCGTATCAGAGTCCCCAGCACGCCAACCGAACCTCCAGCCACCCCTGCAATCCACTCGTTGGCCGAGAAGAGGGTGTCCTGGTTGATGGCCCTGAGCGGGGCAATGGTTCCGTCGCGCTGGCCGCTGCCGTCCCCCAGCGGCGGCGGCGCCGACCTCAGTGTGGTTCGGCAATTGCACTTGCCTCTGGGGTGGGGCGGCAAGCAAGGATATGGGCGGATGTGGGCAGGGGAGAGGGGGGGGCAGCTTCATCAGAGAGCCGGTGGTTGAGGCGGCGCAACGCATGCGTGCAATGATGTTCCCCTTCAAACGACAGCTACATTCAGACTACAGAATATCCAGGGGGAAAACAATTGGCAGGATTGCGCGGGGGATCCCAGCCATGACCAAGTGGCACATGGTTAAACGCGTAGGGGCCCAGCATTGGACGGGGGGGGGGGACACCGAGGACACAGCAGCAGTGCAGTTCAGCGCCAGAGTTCCGGGGGGCGCCAGATGAGTGACGGGCACTGATGTCCAGGTAGTACATCGTGTGCGCGTTCCGGGATGGGGCGTGTTCGTGACCAAAAATATGGCTTCAGCAGCCATCTAAGCCACCAGCTAGACATCTCCATGAATGATGGATATGCATACATGCAGGCAAATCCATTTCGTGACAAAACTGACTCGAGATGTACAGCGATTACCGCAGTACGTGAAGTAGGAGAGACGCAATCTGAGCATTGGTTAATCATGTATCGAAAACAACAAGAGGTCAACTTGTGTGGGCTGGCGGCGACACTGCCTCTCCGCCTTCGTCACGACGCCTGAATCGTAGAATGGAGGACAGGGCAGCAACGCGATACGTGTCTGCCGACAGGTGCACCAACCTCTGCCACATGTCTGCTACATGCCTCACGGAGCCCGATGATGCCTCGGCAAATGTTGCACGCAACTCGCGGGGTCATCGTCACAACAAGCAGAAGCGACTTGAAAAAACGATTGAACCAAAACACCGCAGTCTGTGGCACGTCAAATCATTCTCTACTTCTTCACTGATGGGCGCTTGCTGAAAGAAGCATTAACCTGCCGCAACAGATCTAAAACAAGCAGGCCGTAGTGTGCTCTACGTATTATTCGGAGTTCACAGCAGCAGCCGCCGTGTTGACACGTACTCTGTATCATACACCAAACGAAACGCTCGACACACATGTTTGTTCAACATGAATATGTCTACTCCCGGCGTCGGAGTGGTTTCTCTCTCGTCTCTCTCGTCTCTCTCTCAAGAGGATGAGTCACAGCGTTAAAATCCGTGCAACCCTCTGCTCTATGGCGCTGCCATGTTGCTACCTTGGCTCCGCGCCCCCAGCTGCCTCGGTGCATCGCGTCGTGCCTGCTGCTGCTGCCCCTCCTGCAACAACGAAGGCTGCTGCTGCTGTGTCTGATGTGCGGCTACTCCTCCCTCGATTGTTTCCTACAACATCCCCGTGAGCAGCAGGCTCCTGTCGCCCGCATGCCACAAAGGCCCTACATGCTGTCGGGCTGAAAAAAAGAAGCAGGAAGACCACGAGGAAGAGGGACATGGCCTCTCAAGCACGGAGCAGCAGTAGTACCGGAGTTTTGCAGCATGGCAACCGCTGCTGGGGGCACACACAACAAGGCTTTTTTGCTTTTTTTTTATAGCGAGGATCATGAGGGGTACCATACTTATTGGGTCCCCGTCTGTGGGCTCCCTTTGTCCTTCGCCTAGCAGTGCCACGCGCCATTGCTCGCTCCGTCTCGTTCACGCCTCTATCAGACAACCATTCCTCGGTTCTCGAATATATTCAATATCTCTACTACTGCTGCACGAGGTGAAGGTAGAGTTCTTGGTGTCCACTTAAGAGAAAAAGTGAGTTAGTTACATTTGCTTGCATCTGGCTTTCGTTCTAATCATGATCCACGATCCACTTTTGCATTGCATTTCAAATGAGAGGTATGCATACTATCACCCCGAACACGAGATCCCGCACCAACCGCAGCGCGAGTGTGATAGGCAAGCACCATGTACAGATAAAAAGCAAATGCACATATGGAGAAGACACGGCTCAGACGTGGAATCAAATTTCCTGGTCGAAGAAACAAGGAACTGTTCATGGTCTCGACAACACTCTGCATGCAATACTGCCGTGTTGTGCTCTAAACGACTGCCAACTACTGCTGTGAAGGCTATTGGACAACCAAATAATTATAACCCACCGCCGACACAAGGAACAAGTAGCTGTCGGGGCCGCGCTTCTTACCATCTTGCCCCGCAATGCATCACGAGGTCGAGCTGAAACAGCGATAACGATGTTCACTACTGCTGTTTTCGGTCAAGGGTAGGCCCGCCAAACTGCAAACCAAACACGTCCCCTTGTTGCAGCTTTGCGTCACGGCAATACCATCGTGTTCGCCTCCCGCCTGTGGCCTTGTCGTGTCCAACGTAAATACCTAAAGGCGAGGCATCTTCGGAATGTCGGGCGGTGTCGCTCAACTTTTGGCCCTTGCGGCTGAGGCCACAAGTAGCGGCGAAGGCTCGACGGCGCCAGAGACGGCGCCACCTGTTCCTCCCGAGGCAGAGGTTGCAGCAGCAGAGCGGGAAGGAAGTGACGAGGCGATTCGTACGCAGGCCATGCAGGTGTGTGTACATGCGAGCAACGCACCGCAGATTACAATCGGATTGCAAGAGGAAAAAGCGGGAAAAGGGAGGCCTGTGTACTCTGTAGCCTGTCGGTCATGTCTTGTTCAGCCTCCGTTTTCGGTCTTCTCCCCCTACCTTGCCCGCAGGTTTCCATGTCGCCTCTTTGCCTGTGTTCCAACTCGAACGTAACGCCCCAAACAAACCGCGGGCTATTGACATGCCAATTCTTGTTTGCGAAGGAGAGGGTCGAGCACAAGAGGTATGACAACCAATCGCCCCGCTCCTTGTGGGGAACATCAAGAGGTTTGCTAGTCAGTGTAGACGATTTTTTCGAGCTAAGCCGTAAGGCCCGGTCGTGTCGCGACGCTTGCCCCCCCCCCCCCCCCCCCCCCCCCCCCCCNCGGCGTGCTCCGTCTCGGCTTTGTAGGGATGCGAGGTCAATGGTTGAACCACTACGGCGTGCACGGCTATGAGGAACCCCCCCCCCCTTCCTCGAATCCGTTCACGTAGGAATGTGTCGATGCTCTCACGGAGAAGTCGAAGGCGGGCAACGAGATTGTGTCCAACTTGGTGCAGAGCCTCGGCTCCGCTCTCGTGTACCCAGACGCTGGCAATTTTGACACCAACCGGAAGCTTTGGGACAATTATGCAGCGGAGTGGGAACCGGACGCCAGGTTCGCTAACATATCTCTTCGCATTTTTCTACGTACGCAAAAAGGTTTGAATGGGAATATTAACAGTAGACAGATGTACATCGAACTTTCTGCCCTTTTCCGCCATGTTGGCGTGCTAGCTGAGTGGGCCGGACTCTCACAGATAGGCGCGGCTCAATCTACCCCTTCCCGTAGCAGGCCTCGCCCGACGTCTCAAGCGACTTCTTTGCGGATGATCGTCTTGCTTTAGTGGTTTTCGTTCGGACGGGACTTGCCTGCTGAGTTGTGTCGAGCAGCTCCCACCGCAACATTCGCACCTTGTCAGACACCACTCTCCATGACACGCTTTGCTTCGAAAACATCGTTTCGGCACGTACGCCAGCTGGGTGCAGAAAATGGCCCAAGGGTCGAAAACGGAGCGTCTGGAGGTGGTTGGCGATGAGTGGTCTACGCGCGACGATGTGATGAGGGTCATCAACGACTTCATCCTGGTGAGAGGCAGTCGCTGCCACTGCTGGTACCGCGAATGCTTTGGCCTTTGTTCTGTTACCCCCCCCGCTAAACTGCGAAGGCTTTAGCGCTTCGTGCGCAGGGAAATACTGAGGTAGTGGTGCATGTATACCTCCGTGCTGGTGCAGCCCTCAGTTCGTGTATGCGCAGACCGATATTTCTGTTGGTGTTGATGGGCTGCTCTCGTGCCCGTCGAACGAGCTCATGTCTGTGCTGACTTAATCATGCACAATTTTTGGTGCGACCGACGGCAGTTTGCCAACCACACCACAGGCCAGTAATGTTTGCTGCCCTACAGAGTAGTGGGGCCGATACAGTACGTATGCAAGTCTCGTCGGCGTTGAGCATCATCAAGGTAGTGCCACGTGGCACCAGCAAAACGACAGAAATACAGTAAATAGTCGTTTGTCCAGGGGATTGGCAGTTCGATTCGCGTTGTGATTTTTTCGTGCCACGACCCTCCGCTGCTCCCCATCTTGGTGATTTCTTCGCGCTGCCCGGTCCTCGTGCACTCCATACCTTCCGTGCTGCTGCAGCCGAACGTTACAGAGGAGAGCAACGTCGGCGAGATTGGCTGCGGTGGGGGGCGCGTGACAGTAGAGGTGCGGAGGTGACTGGAGGCTGACGGGCGGACAACCCATTTCCTGTCAGCATGCGGCGGTTATAGTGCCCGTGAATATCATATTGGTGTACGATGTGGAGTCGGGGTGTATTCGGAACATGCAGACAGTGCGGCATGTGTCTAGGGTGGATTACTCTTGAGCTTTACGGTCACAGAGGCGTCATTGGCGTGTTTTTTTTTTATCGAGCGGCATCTTCACGCCGTGATTGTTGTTCGTAGCTCGTGTTTTCCATGGCGGTGCGGTGCATCATTATGGGGGTGGTTTGCGGTTGCACTGAATTGTTGTCATGTATTTTCCGTCGCACCGAAAACCTTTTGTATCCCTGTCATCAAACGCATCGCATAATTACCGTCACGTATTGGCACTGGCATCCCGCCTCCCTCTTGTCTCGCCCGCCTTCTCCCACAACGCAAACACGCAACTACCGCCGTTGACGTCTGCCCTTTACTTTACAAGGTGTTCCGCAAGGCTGGACAGCTGACATGCTTCGACATCTCCAAGAACATGCTGAAGCGCACCAGATCTGCAGTGGGAGAGGGGGTTTGCGCCGGAGGGGGACAGGCAAGCTTTTCTCTTGCCCCCGCGCGTGCCCCCCCAAAAAAAATGAATTTTCGAGTGGATGACCGAGGTTTGCCGAAGTGAAGGAGGGGTTGTACACGGGTGGTAGGACGGAGGAGGGAAATGTGCCAAAGGGTTGTCCATTTCGGTCAAGTAGAAGACACTAGAATACAAGTCACACATCTCATGGTCGGGGAACGTGAAGTAAGTAAACAAGGGGGACGTGTGCGGTCTTGAAAAAGAAACGAGAAAACCTAGATGAATCTGACATGATTGCCTTACGACAATGAGGTTGTGGCGACATTGTGATCGCTAGAGCAGGCGTAACACGGTGTCAGCATAACGTGCAAAAAGAAACGGGGCAATATATGGCCATGATTTTCTTGCCCTCATAGGATGAACACCTTGAGGTTGTTGGCGGTGTCCCAATGAAGAGTAGAAACGTCGTCTCGAAGAGGGCGAGTGATCGCTGGCCAACACAGCAAGACACGTGGCGAATGAGTTCACCCCCACAAATGGCAACGGCTACCGCCTGAGTACCTGAATGAGGGGTACCCCCACCTCCCCCTTGACTCTTTCCTCTCTTGAAATGTTCGTTTCTGACTGAATTGAGCAAGTCGGGTGCCAAGGTTCAACTTGTTCGTCTTGTAGTCGGGATACAGTATTGCAGTCAGGCCTCTCGTGTTGGTTGGCAGTATGAGTATCCCCCCCTGGTGTGCAGCGCTCTCAACAAGTTCACAAACTGTGAGCAATCGGGACTTGCTGGCTGCGTACGTTTGGCCTTTGTCTTTGGTCCCAGCCCGGTGCCGACATGCAACGCTCTGCTGTTGTCTTCCTTGGCGAAACCTGACTGGCGCAGTATTTGGTGGGACCTGCCTGTTCCACGAGCTACGTAATCTTCCGCCATATGTACGGATTAGTCACAAGAGACATAGCTGAACAGCCCAAAGGGATGATAAAACACTCGCCTACGTATCGTGCAGAGCTTTGTTTTCTTTGTGGGAATTTGCCGAGTAAACCAAGCTACCCCTAAGCTACAGGCGGAGAGGGTGTGATCGGCGCGAAAAAGAACGTTCATGTCTGAACCCATCTTATAGTCCAGCCCTGCAACCGCTTCTGGTCGATGTGTGCATGCGTGATTTTGTCTTGCGTGTTCACGTTTGTTATGGCACGCGTCGCTCCCTCCCTTCTCCCAGCGCAGGTGAAGTTTGTGCTGCTGAGCCAGCCCCGCCTGCCGGAGAACGCGTCCGATTCGCTAGATTTCGTGATCTTGTACGACGTTCTCGTGCACGTGGACCTGCACATCACCAACAAGTACATCCGCGAGATCGCTCGGGTGTTGAAGCCGGGTGGCAAGGCTTTTTTGTCCACTGCGAATTTCCTCAGCCCAGGTGAGATTTTTCGGGCGAGAGACATAAGAATGGCCCGCAATAAATTGATTGGTCAATTTTTAAAGGACTGTTCCAAACAAGGCCCTGTGTGTGGCGCACAAGGCCCGATACTCACGGGGATCGGTATCTGCTCGCAACCAAACCTTGAGTCGTCGCAGATCCTTGACGATCTCCAGTCGTGCTTTCATATTGTCCCCTGTAGCACCCAACGGTTCGATCTTGAAACTCGTG